AAAACAGACTCATTAAAAAGAAAAAGCAGAGTTTTTCAGAACAATGAACTACAGCAAAAAAGCTTTCTATGTAAAGTCATCGCTTAATACCACTTACATCATATACAGCATGTTTTAAAAATAGGTGTATTTTTGAATTTCACGTGCTTTCTTTCATGTCTCTTAACAATTCAGGAATGAACTTAAGTTATTCAAAAGCATGTATTAGTGTTCATAAAATTTAACATGCAGAAAAAAAGAATCACATACACATAATGTAAAAGCTTTGGTTCAAGAACCATCTCTTTGCCATGTGCTTACACCATGAATGATAGCAAAAGCTTCTATCCAATAAGAAAAATATCAATCCTAGATTGCATGGCTTTTTTCTTTCAAAAAAATCATTTACATGCACATAAATACGCATTTTTCAGTTGCACATTCCCCCAAAACAGGAGACAGAAAGCAGTCTTATAATTGCCTGAATTCTAAGCAGAACATGGGATGATTTTTATATTTCAATAAATTGTTGTACAGTTGGAAACTAGAGTTCCCTGCTAATATCGGCTACATGGCACAAACATGGATTGTCAAGTTCAAGGATAATAAAGTGAAATAAGCAACTGAAATCAATTTGGCAAACAGAAAACTCACCTGGGCAGAAGATATGAGAGTCCCAAAAAGAGGAGACAAAATATCTGTTAAAAATATTAAAGCATAATTGAGTAAAAAAGGTTCAAGTAAACATTTCACATCTTGAACAGTTTGATAACTACCACAACACAAGTGTCAGATTGTTCACAGGCTTGGTGTAACAGAGACATTTACAATTAAGTTTACTGTTTTGAATATTAAAGTCACTGATTCCCCTGTGAAACCCTTATGGTCTTATACTTATAAAAAGCATTAATCCTCTCAAAGTAGAAAACAAATTTTAAAAACTTATTAGGAGAAAGACTAAGATCACATGGAGAAAGGGACAAACTACTCTCTCCCTATAGAGAGGGCTTGAAGAACTGTGGCAGGGTAGGAGCAATAAAGGCATAGTTAATGCTTAAAGACTTATCTGTTGCAGACTGATTGTAGGATATGTGTATCCTTAGTTCATTCATGGTAACACAGAAAACTAATCCAGCTGAGGAATTATAACCTTGATAACTGAAGCACAGCAGCAACTTTTAAACGTATCCTACAAATACCTTCTAGGATAGACAAAATATTTCATGCCGTATCTCTACGGAAATCTGGTTTTGCAGGTTAAACAAACAAAAAAACTCAGCCCCTCCACCAGCTCAACTAATCACCTAGCAGGACAACTAGTCCTAAGAGAGAACAGGCCAAAAGCCACAAGGAATTCACAAAGCAGATAAAGACATACAGCAGTAAAGCAAGTGAGGTTTCTGACACCAGACTACCATCAATAATCAATGCTCATAGGGAGCACATGAGGTTGAGGAAAAGTTACAACCTAATTGTATAGGTCTTCAGTCATTTGATCTTCAAAGAACTACAAATTTTTTCTGCCTCATTTTACTGTATTTCTGTGCATAAATCTCTTATTAATACTTGTTTCTGATTTGGTCTTGCAACGTATGAGATTTCATTTCTGAATGAGGGGGTGTTTACGGGTGTACAGAGCTCTTCCCCCTTACACCAAACCACAGCTACACAGCATTCCTGAAGCATCAGTATTGTACACTGAAGACTTCACTCCATCTTGACTTACACTCACTTCTAATTGAATTGAAACTATCTTGTACTGCATCAAGTAATAGTGAATTACTAGGTCCAAACCACTCAGAAGCATGAAGACAAGTGCAAACAACCACTCAGGGAGTATGGTTATGCACCCAAGAAAAGTATCCCTTTAGGATACTAGGACCATGAAGGCAAGTGGTTTTCCCCAGAATAACTCACACAGAAAGCAGCAATAAGAAGCACGATATGATTTGCCTTGGCTAAATGCACATGAGATTTGTGCAGCGTAACTCATAAGTTACAACAGAATCAGTATCAGCAAATTAATGCTTTATACGTTATACTTCTAAAAGAGAAAGGCAAAGATAACAGAACCGATTCCTACAACTTGCACATTTAGAATATGAAGCCTTAGTTACACCAAGGAATATTTGCATTTAAAAATACCCACAAACTAAAAATAAGCATTCTCTTGCAAACAAGTCTCCCAAAAGCCCACTTCTGTAGAAGCCACTTGTTCACCTTTTATGTGAAGGGCTCCAGAATTATAGCTCCGTTCAATTCCTCTGACTTTAGTGAGAAAAAACCTGAAAGGGTTTCCTCCATTTAACAAATCCCAGGTATCTTGGGCTTCACTAGGTGTTTCATTATACTCCTCTGCTTTCTGATTCTCTGAGAGCTCATAATCTTTGCGAAGATTCAGAGGATGTTCTTTGGGTGCATCACATCTTTCTTCTTTCAGTGTTTCTTTGTGGGCATGCTTTTCGTGATCTTCGGGCTCTTCATCGCTACTAGAAAGACACCAGCCTAAGCCTTCTTGGCTAGTTCTCTGTTTTTCTGCTGGAGGTAGTTCTGCAGAAAATTTTTTATCACTGAGCTTCAGGGGAGAAGCTTTTCTCTTGTGAGCAGCTTTCCTAGCTTCAGAGCATGGATATTGTGGCCCACTTGTTCTGCCACGTGCAGCATCCAATAGTGAAGATGTAGATGGTTTTTCACTGTCAGAATTTTCTTCAGTACTTTCATCACTACTAGATACTGTCCATTTTCCGTGTGCACCTTCCTGAAGCATGTTCCTAGGGATTAAAAAACAAAACACCAAAACACATTGTGCATTTTTGCTATGCTCAAGTCTGTTTTTCTTCCCAGTTTCCATTTGCTTACTACTAGGGAGCTTTGCTTTTTGTATTTGGCACAATCTCCATGCAACTTCTGACTCGGGAGAATTTCATAGCACACAAGGCTTATTTGTTTCTGTGCCCAGGAAACAAAGAAACACGTGCAATGGGAGCAACCGTCAAGTGGGAAGCAGCTAACGTGGAAATCTGCACCTGGAAAACCGGCTAGGATAGGGACACGTACAGGGAAGCGTTTCAAAAGTCCAAAGAGTAATTTGCATCATGCAGGTATTTCTCATGCCGACCCTAACGCTCAGGGGTCTAGCGCGCTCTGCTGAGGAGACACAGAAGCACAAA